GTTCCCAGCCTTCATTTCTATTCTGACTGCTGCATCCATCCTACTTTAACTTGCCTGCCTTATTTAAGCAACAAATCAGCTAATCTAGTATAACTTATGCAGACTGATTGCCCCTATTGGTTAGAATCTTGAGAAAGAATGACTGAGCAAGGTAGAAGAGCAGCTTCTGGGTTGCCTAGGCTGTTGCTGGTTATTAAAAGTGGCTACATCTAGTACATTGCTAAAAATACAAAATCTGAAAAACACTGTGTTGGTATATCCTCTTGTCATGCATGCCATACTCAAGCATCAGATATAATGTTAAGTACCAAGCAATTTTTGACTGTAGTATGTGGTAGGAATTCAGTGCATTTTATGTTCAGTTTATGGCCAGAAATTAGAAAAGGAATTCTAGTAGTACGTTAGGCCAGTTCTGGCCACTGTAGAGCTTTTGTCTTTAATTATACAACTACTTAGTAAGAATACTGGATTAAAAATAGAGAAAGTGGAAGTTGTTGCCCTTTGAGCATCTTCAGAACAAGGACTGAAGAACTTGTTATTTGTGGAGTTGTATTTTACGTAGGTTGTCCCTAGTGTATAGGAACAGACACTGAAGTGCACAGTTAGGTTGTCTTTTTATTTGAAGGTGCAGATAGAACATAACACTGCAGATCTGATCCTATGTGAAACATATTTGTTTGTTTGTTTGCTTGGTGGGTTGTTAATTTTCCCTCTAAGGCCGCAGGTAGCTGGAGTTCACAAGGTAATTTGAAAGCCTTAAGAAATCTCTTAACAGTCTTGTTTGTGCTGTTGGACAAGTTACAACATTTCAGTTGGCCAAGCCCAGCCCTTCCTTTTCCCTCCCCTCTCCCATCTTCATCCAGCACTGAGGAATTAAACCAGAACAGTGTCCTCTTCCTTTCCCTAATTTTTTTAGGTTTCTTATTTTCAGTCACTGGGGTTTTCAGTCACATTTTCAGTCACAGTTTTAATTTTCTCACTGCTATGTAAGTCCCTGGAGTTAAAACACAGGTTATTTGCATGATTTTGATACAGAAAATCTAATCAAAAGCAATATTGCCAGTGTGTTCATGAATGGATTTGCTGTGATTTAATTTTCAAAATGGTAACATTTTTTCCTTAGCAGTAGTAAAAATAAGCAATTCCTCATAAAGTGTTTCCCTGGTTCTGATTTGTTGCCTTTGTCTGTTTGCAATTAAAAAAGGAGCAGGTCACGCCTTTATTTGAAGGCATGAATGGCAAGTTCTGGTTAGAGTAATAGAGCTTTTAGTTTTGAGAACAAGTACTCTTTCCTCTCTAGAATTCAGATATTGCTGTGACCATATACTACTAACTCTTCAGAGTCATTTTGGCCAGCTACAGTTGTGTTGAGTTTAACATGGGGGCAATGGGATAGAAAGTGGGCTGGAAATTGTGCTGATGCCACATAGAACAGTAATTCTCAAACAATTGTGTTATACCATATGGAGCCTTTTCCGGAGAACTGTCAAACAGAGCACTGAGAATCATCTTTGAGGAAGTAGCAGCGAGTGGTCTGTAGAAGGAACTTACTATAAATGGTCTGCATAAAATGAACTTGCTGTAGTTGCTTTTCTAAATCTCACTTAGGAAGATACTATTGAGTTTGCTTGGAGTAACTTGGTTCCTATTCGGGTTTTTTGTGCTCTCTCTGCTGTAAACAATACATGCTTTGAAAGGTGGTATAGTGTTGCTCTACTGGTATTCTGTGTATTTTATAAAGATGTAAACTTAAGCCGACTTGTCTAATGATGCTACCCCTTAGAACAGGTCTGCTAGGAACTTAATGGTGTGAAGACACTGTAATCTCTTGTTGTAAAAGTATTGTTTGTTTCCTTGCCTTGTGTATTTATCTGCCTGTAAAGAACCTGCTGAAGAGAGTCTTTTTTCTCTAACGATTTTGAAAGAGCTTAGAGTACAGACGTTACTGTTGTTAATGGATGACATTACCTAGGAATGCAGGGTTTGGTTGTTTCCCTTGTCTCTAACAGCTTCCTTCCATTACCATTTGAAGTATAATTGATGCTTGAGCAAGAGCTAAATCCTCTCCTTGCGTTGCATTCTCTGTTAGTCCTCTAACATCGCATAGCCCTTGGCTTCTTGTGTTTTCTAGACTCTGAAATAAAACCTCGACTTTCTTAGTATAGCATAGGAAACTGTAAAGCACCTAAATTAAATTAGCTTTTGTTTTGCAAGTTGGTCAGCATGGGCGTAGAGTATGTATTTAAGCATAAAATTATTGTGCTGTGTTGTATGTATTAGATTGGGAGTGGCAAGATACAAAGGGACTGTATCCCACCTTCATTTTTTTCCCTGAATTTAAGGAACTTTAATTTCAGTTTTCATCCAGATCAGATTTTTCAATCAAATCAGGTTTTGTAGCTTTTTTTTTTTTATTTTTTTTTTTCATTTCTACTCTTTGTGACTAGAAAACCAGTGGTAGTTTTCTTGTGGAAGTAGTGATGAAGAGATTGCTGAAGTTTGTTGTGTGATGATGTTGTTTGTGAATTTAATTGCCGGTAATACAATGTGAACCATTGTGTCACATGAATACATTTAAAGTCTTTCAACTTTCTGATTGTCTTTGACACCTTTCATAAATGCTTCATTACCATTGCAGATGAAAACGTTCCCTGTTGGCAGTCAGGCTACACAGCATAATTTAACATGTGATTAAACTCTTCAAAACTGTTACAAACTTAACTGGTATGAATCAAACAAATAGTCCTTTACAGTTGTATGTCATGAGTGAAATTGTCATGTTTCATTTTTCATTTTCTCAGCACTGATAAGCATATTGTTTCTGGAGTTGTGAACAGTGCATATGGCCAGGGTGCACTGTGCTAAAGACTACATACACACCAGTGATAAACAGCTGTTAAACTGAAACTTAGAATTTTGTGTTGTACCACTTTTAAAAAAAGGTGGAAAAAAAACCCGCCAGACATTTTAGTAGAAACTTTTGTGACCCGTGAAAGATTTGAAAATCCTTTTGGTTAATCCAGATTATTTGCTGAGATTACTCGATTAATGTATCCTGAGGGACCAGTGAAAAACAAACAGTACTTCAGACAGTGTGGCCACTATAAACTTTTTTACAAGCTGAAAAATGTGGTGTCATGACATAAGGCAAACATTGGTATGTCAGATTATATTTTTCTTTCCTAAATTAGATGTTCAGCACATTGGAAACTCGGTAGGAGCTAGGAGATTCTGCCTCAGAAATGATCTGCAGTGGATCGTTTCATGATATGTCTTTGTGTGAGGCTGTGACCCCTTAAACCTTGGAAGAACAAAACAAAAAGCGATGCCTGAATCACGTGTGTGAATATGTTACTGTGCAGTGGTTTTAATGATTTCCAACTTTGCTGTAAGGAGAAGCTATAACTGTTTGTGTAATAGCTATTGAACTGTTGTATTTTGCTAGTTCAGCACAATATGCTAGACTGTATGATTTTGGTTTTGCTTTAATACATTAATTCTAAGATATGCTATTCTGGTTGCTGCTACAGAAGCATTGAGGTTAATGAGAAAACTAGAATGGGTGCTGACCACTGTGATTTAAGATAAGGATTAAGATAACTGGTGGAAACCAAGATGTAGCAGTTGATGCTTCTGTCCTAGTGCTGTTCCAGTGCCTTGCACTGGAAAAAGAGTTACCTTCTAAATCTGCTCATTTGTAACCTTTGTACTCTGCGTTGCTGGTACTTAAAGCATTTTTGTACTTGAGTATGGACTTCAAAATACAGTCCTGAAAATGTTTGCAGGGAAAAAGTCTTTATCCTTGTGTGTCAAAGCATTTTTATGTTGTAGAATGTCATGTAGAATTTCTAGGAAAAATGCAGCACAGAAAAAACCCCAGGGTCTCAAGAATGAGTAAGCCTTGTGAGCATGGCATTGAAATATTTTTTTTGACAGTGTGATTGGAGAAGATTTCAGAGTTAGCCTTACTACTTTTAACAAGATTCTGAATGTCTGTTGATCATAGTGATGAAGTTGTTGTGGGACAAACTGCAGTAGAACAACAAGGGTGCCAAGGTGAGGGGACTCAAATTCCTGGTTGGGGTCTAGGTGAGGTTATTTTCACCAAGCACTGTTGAAGCGTTTGTCCAGTTACTGCCAAACGTTGCAGTGTTCAGATAATCTTCAGTTGTTTTCTGTATTTGACCATTGTATCTTTTTTTTTTTTCTTTTTTTTTTTTCAATGTGACTTTGGAGTTACTTTGTGAGACAGTTGAGGTTTCATGTCTTGTGGGGAAAAAAGTGTGTATTCCTTGCACTTTTGCCATTTGTCATGCTGTTTTTGAAGAGATTGAAATTATGGTTTTGGTGTGTTGTTTGTATGTTGGGGTATGTGGGGGGGGGGGGTTGGTGGGTTTTCAATATTTTTTTTTCACCCAGAGAGGTATTTCCAGAGAGATTAGGTCTGTGAAGTTCAGGGTATTTTTTTTTGTTTAAGCTTTTTCAGTGTGTCATGGGAAATATTAAACAAAAGAAAAGTGTTAAGACAGTGTGAGTAAACCATGTCTTAAATAGCTCTTGCTTCTTTGGAATATAGGACCACTTTTATCCCATAATTACGTTTACAAGTACGCTTACTTACAGCAAGTTGTCAGTTTGGGACAGTAGGGGGAATGAAGAGAGAAATAAATAAAAGCACCTACTGAACTTGCTGCTGTCTGTAAATATACTTTGCCTTTACCATATAATTACTAGCAAGTTAACAGTACACAGAAATATAAAAATAGTGTACCACCAAGGAATATGGAAAAGGAAATTGCTTGTATAGTCATGTGTGCCATAAGGAGTACTACTGGAATTTCTTTTTCTGCTGGAAATTATCTTTTAATGTTGAGTTTTTTGTAATCTTCAGTCTTCATGGATGTTCAGCACTGCAGGATCAGAGTTTTTCTCAAGGGAAGAACATGGGAAATATAATTAACTTTTTTTAAATTAAGCTAAATAGATTTTTCTTTGTTTAGCTTAGAGCAATAAATGTAGATCTCCAGACTGATGCTGCTCTGCAAGTGGATATCTCAGATGCACTCAGTGAGAGGGACAAAGTGAAATTCACTGTCCATACAAAGGTAAAAGCTTGGGTTTGTACACTGAACATCATCTTAATTGTATAGAAGAGAGAGTTTCTTTAAACTGTGTGTAGAAACAAGTGTAACACAATCCAGAGGAATTGAGAAGATAGCTTTATCTCATGTTTAAGAGATTGGGTAGCTGCAGTGCTTAAGATGGCTAAAATTTAAGAGGTTAAAAAACTGTTTAGAAAAAATGACATTCAGGTTTTTGTACTGATACGTTGTCATGCCATTCATATGCTTATAAATTGGCCTGATTGCAGGTAGAATCTTTAATATATCTCAATATGCTTCAGCACAGTTTTTTATTAGATTTATGGAGATCATTTCGTCTCATCTTCTTCCTCCCTCCACCGTTAAATTGGGTGTGGGCGAACCAGAGCTCATTGCTCAGGACTTGTCCATTTGAGTTATGAATATCTCTGAGGGCGGAGACTCCATAACCTTTTTGGGCAGCTCATTCCAATTGATTGCTGCACTAATTGAAATGGGGGTAATTACTGTTGTATGAACTTTGGTTTTGGTCAAATCCATACTTGGATGATTGGATTATTTTTATTTTTACAGGGATATTCTGTTGTTCCTTCAAGATGCTTTTCATATAGCAGTGGAAAACTTTTCATAATTCTTCCTCCTTTTTCCTTTCTAGAGTTCCTTACCAAATTTCAAACAAAATGAGTTTTCTGTTGTCCGGCAACATGAAGAGTTTATTTGGCTTCATGATTCTTTTGTTGAAAATGAGGACTATGCTGGCTATATCGTAAGTATTGTAGTTCTTTTAGTTTATGTGCGCTGTTTTCTGTGGGCCATATCAAAAGTACTTGTGACTGCTTTTAAATGCAATGGAAATAGCAAATGTTCATTCCTTCTAAAATCAGATCAGATGCTTTAATACTTCATTTTATGCAGTTACACAAAATTAATGGCTGAAGCAAGCTTGGAGGAAAGTTAATATAGTTGTCATACTTTCTTGCCTTTCACTCCAAAGGACTGAGTAGTTTAATCTGTATCCAAGTGTATCTTTAGTCCACCATGCTAAAAGTGTGGGAGATAGACGAACTGTATAACTTGGTGGTATTGTTTTTGCAAGCTAATGTTTAACCTAGTTACAAGTTACATGTTGCCTTTGTCTTAGCTGGAATGGCAGAGTACAGTAACTGAGCTCTACTAATGACACTTTTCCAGTTTTCATTATGAAGATCAGAATCATTTTACCATAAATCAGTTGTAGGGGGGAAAAAAAAAAAAGGCAATGCAAATACCATCTAGAACTACAGAGAACCTTAAAACACAACTGAACGATTTGTGTTTTGAAGTTTATTTCAGGCCTCCAGGGAGCAGAGGTCCCAAAATAGTCACTTTACAATGCTACCTATTAAAAATGGATGCCGCTGTTCATACCTTAATTACAAGTAGTAATATTTGTCTTTGGGTGAAAGGTATTAATTTTGTTTTGGGGAGTGTGTCTACTGATTCACAAGGTAAACGTATTTCTAATTGACAGGGGGGTACATTTTTGATGAATATAATCTGTGATGTATCATACCATTCTTAAGCTAGTCTTTTTTTTTAAGTCAGAAAAGCTATTTGAAGTTAGCAGACCTTCAGTGTGGTAGTAACTAGTTTCAGAAAATTGACTACATAGATGCCAGATTTTTCTTCTTTTTGTAATGCATTAATGTAGTGGACAAATGCTGACAACATAGAATTTAAGCTTAGCTTAACTTTGTTCTATGTCCATTTTCTGATAGCAGTTGAGAATTTCTTTGAATGCAGTGTTTTCTTTTTCAATCTTAATATATGTATTACAAGATTAACCTAGAGACTTGTTTACTGTGTGCTTTGTTATTTCAACAGATGTATCTTTAATGTCAACAATGCTGCAAGAAAGAACTAGTGCCCCCAAACAATATGGAATGTTGTTTTTTTTTTTTGTTTAAAGTTTTGGGGAGTTATAAATGGATGATGTGAAAACAATTGTGATTTATTTTTTTTTTCTTTAAACAAGAAATGTTCTTGCCAAATAAGCTAAACCAAAACTAATTATAAAATAATGATTTAAAGTTTTATTCATTGTCATGGAAAAGCTAAGTATGTCAGTATTATTTAATTTCTCTTTTTATTAAACCACTGAAGCCATGAATACATTAATAAAGTATTAACTAATACTTTATTAATCTTCAAGAACACTTGGCCAAAATTGGTATAGTAGTGCAGCATGTCTAACTCATGAATGAGAGACTTTATCCATGAATGCTGTAATGAATGATGAAAGAGAGTGCCATATATTACAAAGCTGCAGGCAGTTCCCAGTTCCTGTACTGAATGGATGTTGTTTGGCTGAGAAGATGAACAATTAAAAAAAAATTGATTAAATTCCAGATTCCACCAGCACCACCCAGGCCTGACTTTGATGCCTCAAGGGAGAAATTGCAGAAACTTGGAGAAGGGGAAGGATCGATGACTAAAGAAGAATTCACCAAGATGAAACAAGAACTGGAGGCGTATGTAAACTTGATTACTACTTTATTCTTTCTTTTTTTCCTGTATCTCTCAACTTTTAATGCTGTCTGCTGTTTCATGTTTCTGATTTCACTGTAATGGTTCTCTGTGAGTTGTAGGCTTGAAAATCCAGTTGATACATAACCAGGGTTATCTTAGTGATCATGATCAGAGCCATTAGGAAAATTGTAGAAATTTTATGGAAGATCTTCTGAAACAGGGGAAAAAAAATCAGGCTGTTCCTGAGCATTCTTTTGTAAGTAAAAGACTAGTTAGACCCCTTTCTTCACAGAATATCTGCAAAGGGAGGAGGTAACCTCTATCTTATTTCTGGTGTTCCAGTTTATAAGCAGCGTGAGACTTCAAGGTTTATACATGGAGTGATTCAACTAGGGAGTTTTGGATGCAGTTGGTACTGTAAACATAGATGCCAACCTTCTGTTCCCCAAGAAATATGGAGTTTACTAGAAAATACTTCCCCCCCCTTTTTTTGGCACTCTTTTTTTTTATTTTTTTATTTCCCTCCCCCCCACAAGGAGAACATACTTCCTGAAAATAGTATTTTCCTTTACTGTGGATTTAATGTGTATTGATATATCAGCTCTAAGGCTTTTTGTTTCATATTGAGTTACACAGTGAAGTTTCTCCTTGCTTCATCCACTTTCCTTATCATGCATTCACTTCTTTGATCTTTTTCCTGTCATTGGTTTCAGTTTTCAAGTGTATATTTACGCTGCTTCTAGACTGCTACTATCAAGAGCTCTGAATTGGCAAGAAAAGTACATAGAACTCTTAGAACTGCTGCTTTCTCTTCGAACTCCAACTGCTGTGAGCAAATGTCTTAAAAAGCTCTGTTACTAGTGTTACGTACACAACATAATTTATAGCAGAGTAGATATACACTTCATATGCAGAAAACTGGAAATTAGCAAAACACTATAGATTTTAAAGAATCTGTGGTTTTCCAGCGGCCCTGATCATGATTCTCTTGTGGTCTGGTTAGGGGTTGGATAACACAGAAAACTTTGGGTTTCTTCTACTGCCACCTCCATCCTCTGCATCCTCCTTTTTTGTCTTCACTGAATGACTACTACTCTCACTGAGATCAAACATCTCCCAACACTGGCCCTGCTGGTTTGCTGGTATGTAAATCTTAACCTCCTTGCACATAGTGGAAGCAAAAGTGTTGACTATTATTTCACCGTTTGACCTCAGAATGGGGAAGGGAGCCCCTTCCTCATTTCTAGACAAGTTACGTCTTACTGAATTTGCAAAGCAAAATGAATTCTAGCAAACTTGTATTGATAAGAAAGCCTTCCTATTAAATCACAAATGCTTTAACCTTGAGTTGGCTCAACTGGGCAGCTATGCAAGTGTCATGGTTAAACGTGACTTTTTTTCATTTTTTTTGGGGGGTTGTACATACCAAATGCAGCACTTAATTTCACTTTTAGAACCACTATGAAGCAAGACTCCATGTAAGCTTTGTCTCCAAAGGCTAGGTGCTTTAACATGGAATGAAAGACTGCTATCTAAACAGTTAACAAAACTACAAGAACTTTTATATGAGTAAGGAGGGTGCAAATAGGCAAGGGGATGGAGATGGGGAGGAAGGAATTTGCACATCAACTATATTGTGCTAGTGACTGTAATCTGTATCTCAATTTTTTTGGTTTTGGGGAGTTGGGGAGAGGACAATCAAACAAGGTTACACTTTGAGCAAACCAATCTGTGTTAGCTAGCCCTAAAAATTAGAATGCATTTGTTGCGCCTTCATTAAAAGCCTCTGTATAATGTGTTCAGGCTTCAGATTTCGCACTAGTATTAACATTGTACTATTTATGCATATATCAAATATTGGAGTGGAAACCTCTACTATATCAGCTTACAATTTTGTATCCTTACTGAGGATCATTTAAAGCTGCTCACTAGGCTTACCTCAAGCTTAATTGCTTCATGTTAAATTCTTATGTCTTGTCTTGTTTCTTGTTTTCAGTGAGTATTTGGCAATATTCAAGAAGACAGTTGCAATGCATGAAGTGTTTTTGTGTCGTGTGGCAGCACATCCTATTTTGAGAAAGGATTTAAATTTCCATGTATTCTTGGAATATAATCAGGATGTGAGTATTGAAAACTGAATTGCTGGCAAGAAAAATCAAGATGTACTTTTATGGTAGAATGGAAAATTGATTAAGAGGGCTTTACCTCCTGGAGCAAATGACATCAATTCCTTCATTCCAGACATACTTGTATCATAAAAGGTAGAAATTCATTTAGGCTGTATGAGTTCATTTTCCTGCCACTTGGGGAACCAAATGCACTTTGTGCTCTAGCCTCAGCTTCAAAAATACTAATGATAATCCAATATGTTTTGGGTTAAAAATATTAGCATTTGGTGGTGATTTCACATGATGTTATTCTTGTCCTTGTGTTTGGTTTTTGTTGTTTGAGTTGTTTTTTTTGTGGGGTTGCTAACAAAAGTAGAGATGATTTCTGATGAAATGTTCTGATAAGTAAAGCCTTTTTGTTAATAATGTAGGTGAAAATTTGTTTAATTTTTTTTCTAGATCTTGGACTACTGTGGCTATCAGCATATTACGTACTGAGTTGCTATCTGATTTTTGAGTTAATGGAGACTTACTGGATTAACAGTCACTCTTTGGAGTCAGAATTAGTGGTTGCTCATGTTCTGTGAACAGTTTTTAGTTGCTTTTAAAATTGTGGAAATTGGCATTAAATGTTGAAGGAATCATTGAAAAGACTGGCTCAACTGAATGCATGTGTAACTTCAAAATCTGTAACAGAGGATCCTTGTTGCTTGATGTAGAAATGCTTGCTGGTTCAGGATCTCAGTTTACCTAAATTGGGCAAATTTAGATAGGAAGAGTCTGAGGCTGAAACTAACATTATCCTCAGTGCACTAGGAGTAAATGCTTCCGTAGTTTCTGAAAGTCAAAGATCTGCCATTCTTCTATTTGATAAACATTGTATTTTTGATAACTGAAATGTACACGCTGTACACTGGTATTATTAGTAGGTGCTAGAATGTTGCTGGGTTTTATGTTGGGTTTTTTTGTTGTCATGGGTTGTTTGGGGGAGTTTTGGTGGGTTTGTTGATGTTAATGCAGAGTGTAAGACTATCAACTTTTTTTTTTTTTTAAGCTTATATTGCCTCCAGAAACTTACCTAACTTGATAAATGAATTTTTTTTCAGTTGAGTGTTCGTGGGAAAAATAAGAAAGAGAAACTTGAAGACTTCTTTAAAAATATGGTTAAATCAGCAGATGGTGTCATTGTTTCAGGAGTAAAGGTGATTACTGCTTAATTTGTCAAGATTTAAAATATATTAACTTTGTTGTCCCCTTTTTTATAATGAAGCAGAATTTTACATAGCTACATGAAAAGGATTTTTCTAGCAATATTTAGCTTAATTCTTAAGAGGCAGAGCATGGAAAGAAACCTGTATCTCTGGATGCAAGATAACTATCTGAGGGCTTTCAGTACTCTTTCTGCTGGTTTATGAAATTAAGCAATTTTTAAATCAATATAAAATTGATAATCTGGCATTTTTTTTTGTTCTGGCCTGTCCTTTTATGCGGTAGGAAAGCGCGCTAGCTTTCACAGCAGCTGCAGCTCAGAAGTTATTAACACCAGCCTTGTAACATCCTAACTGTTTCAAAACTAAGAGCAGTGGTAAAGGTGATACTGTTTGTCCCAGTAGATGAAAGATTGTAACTGAGACCAAGAAAAGCCAAAAAAGAATTTTAATGAAAATTCCATTTCATTTTGACTTTTCCAAAAGTGGAAAGTTGGTTTTGTAACAATCATAAATTCTGCAGAAGATTATTTTAAGCTCTTTTCTTCCTAGTGGTAACTTTCAATTTACAAGCAAATTAGAGGAGCTGAAGTTCCTAGTTATAAAATCTTGAGTTTTGGAACTGCTGGATAGTTGCTGTAACTATGAATTAATTATGACTTGGAGGAAAATATGAAGTCCGTATAACCAGTGGTTTTCATAAGCATGTTGTTCAAAGCCCATGTTGTAGGCTATTCCATGGTAATGAGCATCTGTGCTATTTTAGACAGTTTTTAAAATAAATATAATATCTCTGATTATAATACAGAAAATATTAAATGTTACCTCTTTTACCAACTTGAAAGAAATTTGTCATCAAGATCAGCATTCCTGAGCTAGGAGTTTGTATTGTCTATGCTGTGACTGCAGCATCTGTGCAGCTGGGTGTCTTGTCACACCCTCCACACCCCCCACACCCCCCACACCCCCGTTTTTCTAGGTAGATGTCCTTTTCTTAAGTACTTAACATTTATTGTATTTTTCTGTCATGAAAGTGGTAGTTAGCAGTTAAACTATTTCCTTCACTTCATGTTTAGCTATCTAGACCTTTAAGACAATTGTTATGAATTCTTATTGAATTCTTACTAAATTATTAATAAAACTTCAGATCATAACAAAATAAATGAAGAAAAAAACAGTCTATGGAAATGGTGTTTCAAACAATAAAAATAGATTGCATTTCATGTGACAGCGACAGCAGTATATGCAAATTTACTCTGCAGTTGCTCTATACAGAGTGAGTGGAATCCTGTTTAAGTTGTTCTTGTTTTTTGTAGGATGTGGATGACTTCTTCGAACATGAAAGAACATTCCTTGTAGAATATCACAACAGAGTCAAAGATGCCTCTGCCAAATCTGATAAAATGACAAGATCACATAAAAGTGAGTTCTTTTTCTAGGGTGAAAATAGCACTGGTTAAAATGTACAGAAGTGGTTCATGAGGAGTAGTAATTTTTAGGTTTTGGTTTGCATGTAAAAAGTGAATTAATTTCTGCAAATGTAGTCTTCAGAAAGTCTGAAGAAGTTTAATCTGACTTTCAAAGTTTAGCTGTTGTTGTAATAGGCTGGATGGAGCAAGAACAGCCCGATGCGGCACTGAAGATATCCTCATGCTTCATGCTGTCCCTCTGAAGAGAAACACACTTTAAGTAATAATATTTTTTTCAAAGTCCGATTCTTAATCTTACATGGGGAGGTGTGCAATATAGTAGTGTATGTGATTTTACTCCCAATGAAGTTGCTCTTGACTGGATGATCTTGCATTCATCAGAGTGCAATTTTTTACCCCACTAAGCATTGCATTACCTTGCTGAGCAACAAACTCCTACTTGGGCTGTTAGTTCTAGACTGCGAAGTCAGGTTTCCATTTTTCAGCTTTTTAGAATGGAGATGGGAATGTGTACATGCAGTAGCTTGATTTGCAGGACCCCTTTTCTTGCTGAGGCAAGATTTTCCACTTAGTTTCCTGAGCTGAATGCTAGCTAATGTGATTTCTAGAAGCTCAAGATGGTCCTCTAAAGTGCAGTGCATTTATTTGAAGAAATGGGAAGTCTTTGTTTTAGGACTGCTGTGCTTGGTTTAGGATTACTGTGTTTTGAGAAGCTCAGAAAGAAGCTGACCTTTGTTAGAATCATAGAATCATAGAATAGTTA